TGGTGGAAAATGCATGTTCTTTGACAAGGCTGACACTGATTCTTGACACTTGCTTTGACTGCACCCTATCCACAGGGGAGAGGAAGGCTGAAATATAGCTGTCTAGCCACTTTTTTTAGTTCAGCGCCCTTAAATGAGTCTTCATCTTTCTTGGGATCATGCACTCCGCTCTATATTGCATAGCAGAGGGAGCATAATTCCCTGACCTACGTATGAGTTTATGCACAATTTTAAGTTACCTTTCAAGTACAAAAGAAGGGTGTTAGCTAAAGCACATATCAAAGGCTCTTATAGCTGAATGACTTCTGAAATGAACCTTTTTTCCCTTGATAGCTTTCTAGGTCACTAAGTCTCTGATGCATGTCAGTCTCTCAAAACTATAGCATTTTATATCATTGAATTGGCATGTATAATAATTCCAAGTATGTTCCTGTCCTTTTTTTGCTGTTATTTTTTCAGGTTTGGTTTCTGCACAGAGCAGTTAAACTTCTGTCTTATGCCTGTAAGAGAGTAATATAATTACTCCAGATTCAGAAACTTAGTATCTGCTCACCATAAAAAATATTTTTTTCTTCTTTCCTTCCATGCTGTGTTTTTTATGTAGTGAGACTGAACTGCATTCATCTCAGGATTTTATGTATTAAATGTACATGGAATTATATTCCTAAATCAAGTTGATTAAAAGCATGCACCGTGTTTGTACCTTCCTTGCTTTTATGAGAAATGCTATGTGAACAATGTATTTTACTGAACAGCACTTAACCATGGTTTCAGAATTGTGACATATCTTAGGTGAAACTTATGCTATTACCATATAAACAAAACCTGACTGAATATTTCTAGAAGCCTATTATTTTTGTTACACGTCATGCCTTTTCAAAATAAGACCATCAATTAGAATGGGACTTCTGTTTTGGCAGGTATCTTGCACTGCATTATTGCAAAGCTAATTTGAGTGGTTTGTCACACTGTAGTGTCAATGATTTGCAGAATGTGCAACCCTCTAATTTGCTTCCACTGAGAGATTCTAATGGTAATAACAATCTAAAACAAAGCTGTACTTTGCATAAGTAAGGATGTACCGAACTCAAGGAGGTGGCTGACTGATTTCATGGGCAGATTCATGATTTCTGTGAAAATTGCACAGTTGTGAATTTGGTAGGTACATGAGCCATTGGTCTCAGAGCTGTGTAATGCCTGAAGTTCTGGGAATTTCTCAGACCCTGAACGTTACTTTAATCAGTGCCTACATACCATGCTGATTGCTTCACAAGAAATATGTATATAGCTGTTTATATAATATGTGTACTTGTTTTTCAGTCTAAAACAATAAGACTGATAGTTTAGCAGTTGCTTAACATTAAAGAAAAAATGTTTGATATCTTGGTGAATAGGTGAATTAAGTTGTAGTTCTGTTCAACTCAGCTGCGTAATATAAGTCAGTTGTCTTCACCCTTATCTTCACCCTCCATTATCTTGGAGGTGGTGGCTCTCAGTCTCTTCAGAATGCGACCTCATTTTACAAAGACAGATTTGAGTAAGATAGAGGGCATGACTGTCGAATGATTGTGGCACCAGATTTCCTTGATTCCACGTCCCTTTACCTAGATATTGCAGCAGATGTTCCTTTAGTGCTAGCATTTAGTTAGAACCCAGAGATGCCAGTTGGGGTTAGACTCACCATTGTGCTGGGTTTTGTGCAAACAAGTCATGACTCTCCTAAAAGAGCTTACAATCAGGATTTGAAAGAAAATCCAACAAGTAAACTAACAAACAGTACAAAGCAAAATTCGGGTTATGTGAATACAATTCAATGTGGACATGCTTGTACATGGTTTAAAATGTGTAGGTTTTTAAAGAAATAAATAAAAATAAACTTAGCTACCCATAAGTCTAGACATTTCTTATATCTGATGCACAGTCATTTTGTGGATGACTTCTCACCTATGTCACCTGGTCATAGAAGGAGGTGACATTGGTCAGGCAAGGCCTACCCACAACAAACCCGTGCTGGCTATGCCTCAGGATGTTGCCATCAGCCAGTCTGTTAAGAATGGTCTCTTTGATAATTTTTTCCAAGATCTTCCCTGGAATAGAGGTCAGGCTGATGGGCCTGTAATTCCCTGGATCTACTTTCCTCCCTTTCTTGAAGATAGGCGCCACACTGGCCTTCTTCTAATCTTTGGGCACTTGGCCTGAGTGCCATGAGTTCATGAAGATCTGTGCCAGGGACTGACCTATGATGCCTGCCAGCTCCTTAAGTACCCTGGGGTGTAAAGTGTTTGGGCTGACTGACTTGAAGGTGTCCAGCCTCTCAAGGTGTTCCTTCACATGGTCTACACCGATGAAGGGTAACAATTCTCCCTCACCCTGGCCGTCCCGTCCCATTTTGAACAGGGCCATCCCTTGGGGCTGGTGAAAAACCAATGCAAAATATCCATTAAGCAGGTTGGCCTTTTCCTGGGTGTCAGTTGTCAGTTTTCCCATATGGTTTAGCAGGGGTCCAATGTTACCCTTGCTTTTCCTCCAGCTCCCCACATATCTAAAAAAGGACTTTTTATTGTCCTTGATATGTGTAGCCAGTTGGAGTTCAATCGCAGCCTTGGCTTTCCTGGTTTGCTCCCTACAGGTCTGGACCAGTGCAGAATACTCCTGCTTTGAGGTGGATCCAGCCTCCCATCCTTTATAAGTCTTTCTGTTTAGATGCAGGAGGTCTGCCAGTTCCCTGCAGAGCCAAGGGGGCTGCTGTGCCCTTTGGATACCTTTCCTCGAAGATGGGATAGACTTTTCCTGTGCATCCAGGATTGCTCCCTGGAAGAGCATCCACTCATCCTGAACTCCCCTCCCATTCAGGTTGTGGTCCCTTAGGGCCTTGCCAACAAGCCTCCTGAACTTGTCAAAGTCAGCTTTCCTGAAGTTGAGGACTTCTGCATTGCTGACTGACTTGCCAGCTTTACGGTGAACGGTGATGGTGATCAGCTCATAGTCACTGTCTCCCAGCTTCCCTTCAATCGTTAGGTTGCTGATGTAGTCATCCCCTGTTGCCAGTACCAGGTTGAGCACTGCTTTGCCTCTCATCAGTCCATAGACTTCTTGAGTCAGAGCTCATCCATGCATATGAGGAAGCTTTGCGACCGTTCAGATTTGGCTGAATGCTGTTCCCATGACATGTCTGGGTAGTTGAAGTCTCCCATGGCAACCATGCACTGGGAGCGTGCAGCCTCAGCCAGTTCCCTGGCAAATTCCTGGTCGAGCTCTTGATCCAGGCTAGGAGGTCTGTAGTAGACGTCCACCATTGTGTCCCCTGTGCCATGTTCACCACGGATTTTAACCTGTGCATCTTTGGAAAAGGGTGTATTAAAATGACATTAAAGAACCATTTGCTTCTCTATGGACTGATGCAAAGGGATGTAGATTCTTCAAGTTGATCCCATTTGTCTGAAAGGGAGTATACCAGCACTTGAGACCTTTAAAGCTGTACTTTGCATAAGTAAGGATGTACCGAACTCAAGGAGGTGGCTGACTGATTTCATGGGCAGATTCATGATTTCTGTGAAAATTGCACAGTTGTGAATTTGGTAGGTACATGAGCCATTGGTCTCAGAGCTGTGTAATGCCTGAAGTTCTGGGAATTTCTCAGACCCTGAACGTTACTTTAATCAGTGCCTACATACCATGCTGATTGCTTCACAAGAAATATGTATATAGCTGTTTATATAATATGTGTACTTGTTTTTCAGTCTAAAACAATAAGACTGATAGTTTAGCAGTTGCTTAACATTAAAGAAAAAATGTTTGATATCTTGGTGAATAGGTGAATTAAGTTGTAGTTCTGTTCAACTCAGCTGCGTAATATAAGTCAGTTGTCTTCACCCTTATCTTCACCCTCCATTATCTTGGAGGTGGTGGCTCTCAGTCTCTTCAGAATGTGACCTCATTTTACAAAGACAGATTTTGAAACTTC